TTATAAATTTATAATTCAGAAATTTATTTGCCAATTTCAAATGCGTAATGTCATGCGCTATAAACTTAACGAACATATCCGTGAAATTCGCGTTAATTCGAGATCTAATGGCAGCATCTGTTCACGTCATTGTTCTCCTTTAAGCGTGATTCGTTGTAAAGCTTCGAAGGATCGATCGCCTCTTGTTTTCCATTGATGGTATCATTGTTGTGGCCATTGTTGTGGCCATTGTTGTGGCCATTGTTGTTTCTACGATATACGTTTTATTACGTTCGCTGTCATGTAGATTAAGATTTACAGTGAAATAATTAAATTATATAAACATTTACATATATATATATAAAAATGTTTATACATATAATTATATAAATATATATATGTATATATATATATATATATATATATATATAAATGCAAATGATTATATATATGAAAAAAATGTTATGTCTGCTATAATTCTGTTTTTTTCTTTTTTATTTTTATTTAAATATGTTTATATGTATAAATTTAAATTCAATTATACACACACATATATATATATATTTATATATAGAAGGAGAGAGAGAGAGAGAGAGAGAGAGAGAGAGAGAGAGAGAGAGAGAGAGAGAGAGAGAGAGAGAGATAGGAAAACTACTCCAGTAATTATTTTCATTTGTGCACTAATTTTTTTTTTTTTACATACAATACGTGCTTTTATGTAATAGGTATATATGTATACTTATATATGTATTATCAGTATATATATATATATGTATATATGAATATGTACACATATATAGGCTCTTTTTTTTCTTTATACTACAAACAATATCTCACACAATTAAATCATATACAATTAAAAAAAAAATATATATATATATATATATATATATATATATCTTTCTCATATCTTTTTTCGTTTACTTCCATTTTCTATTTTTTGTTTCGTTCCAAAACTTTTATAAGATCTCTCGTGGGATCTCATTTCGCATATTTCAAAATTCTGTTGAACATCCCCTCATCCCGTCATCCCCAATCACAATCCTCATCATAATACCCATCACAACACCCACACTATCGCCTTCCCCCACTCTCCTCCCACCGTCATTCAACTCCATCAGTGATTCGTTTCTCTTGTTCTTTCCTTTTTTTTCCTTTTTTATCGTCATACCTTTTTTCATTCGACGTGTAAAACGTCTTTGTCGCATTTTGTCAAATTGATAGGAAATATTTACATACATATGTACATATATACATATACATGTATACGTATATATATTTATATATATACATAAATAAAAAGGAATCAATTCAATCTCCTTCTTTCTTACATATGTATTTTATTATATTTTTCTTTCTTACATATGTATGATATTATATGTATTTTATTTTTTATACATTTCTTTTATTCCTCACTCCCCCCCCACCCCCCCCTCTCTCTCTCTCTCTCTTTTTTTTTCTATTTGCGAATAAGTGAATTTTTTTTGTTTTCTGATTTGAAAAAATGATGATTATATAACGTGAAATTTATTATTGCAATTATATACGTACAGGGTGGGAAAATAAATTAAGATAATCTTGAATGTTTTGAATGCCTCTGTTCTGTCTATGTGGAGAAATTTTTAACGTTCTCTCTTAAGAAAAAAAAAAAAAAAAAAAAAAAAAAAAAAAGAAGGAAAAGAATAAAAAAAAGAAAAAAATATATCGTCGGTCAAAAATGATTAATTTCGAAGATTATTTTATTCAATGCTAAAAAAATTCATAGAAAAATGATGCGATTAAAGTGTATCAAGTGTAATTGAAATCTAAAGAAATCTTAATGATAAATAAATTACCATAAAAAAAAGTCTTTTCGATTTGCGTTTATTCGATTTTCCATTTCTAATTTCAAATATAAATGATATATGATAAAACGGTTATAATAAAAAATCAGAATTTTTTCATTGCAACTCATACCATTTCTCAACAAAAAAAAAAAAAAAAAAAAAAAAAAAAAAAAAAAAAAAAAAAAAAAAAAAAAAAAAAAAAAAAAAATTCTATTCGACGTTATTAAAAAAATCGATTATTATTGTAACAATATTATTGCAATGTTTAAATAAATAAATGAAGAAATAAATTATACTTGAAAATGATGATCGTTTCATGTATCTATGACTTTTCGTTCGGTTTATCAATTTTCGAATGATTTTCATTCATAATTCGCGTGACACAGCTGTTCGTAGTAATAGTATAGTAATAGTATCTCGAACAGCTGGGTACCTGTATATTCTTGGAATTTATATAGGTCAGTATGTTATTGTGTTAATTGAATGATATTATATAGATCAATCAGACAGCGTAAATAATTTCCATTTATATAAGAATACCATCGGAATTAAAAGTTTCATAGATTTGATAAAAACACGATTACAAAAGGGGACAATTCTTTCTACTTCTTTTTTTTTTTTGGTTTTTCCAACGTATTGTTAATAATTAATTAACAATTTATTGTAAACAATTTCTAATAAACAAATTCTTACGAAGTATATTCACGTTGTTTTATCGTGAAAAAGAGAAAACTATTTGGATAATTGCCGAATAAATTTATAAAATTATATAAATTAATAAATAAATAATAAACAATTCTTTTTTCTTTTTTTTTCTTTTTTTTTTTAATCGAAGAAATAAAAACATTAATAACCACGTCTTACATTTGTAATATGAAGATATCTTTGAAATTAAAAATCTCACGGATTTTTATGCAAGGCAAAATTTTTATTATTTTCGCGTGAAATTGTTAATAATTAATTAACAATTTGTAATAAACAATTTATTCTTAACAAATTCTTAGAAAATATATTTGTCGATTATTTTCCAAAAAAAAATAAAAAAAATAAAAAAGAATCGAAAAGAAAAACCAGATTGAGATTGATTTTTATTTAAAAAAAAAAAAATAACGAAGATGTTCAAGATGATCAACATTATTGGCCCACCCTGTATAATGTAGTTTTTATTTATTACTATAATACTCTTATAAATAACTAATCATAATTATATATACATATATATATATATATATATATATACATATATATATATATATATTGCCTATACATATTTACTCCTATATACATGAATGTTTCGTTTTTATTATATATATATATAAAAAAAAAAAAAAAAAAAAAAAAAAAAAGAGAGAAAAAAATAATAATAAAAAAAACCAAAAAAAAGGAGGAAGAATAAGGGGAATAAAAGAAGTTGATATCATTTCCAGGTAGATGAAGACAAACCAATTGAACGATAAGGAAGAATTACTATCGAGACAATTGGAATCAAGGAAGATGATAAACGAAGATATAAAGGTAAGGATATTGCGATATGAATTAGTATAAATATCTTTTAGGAAATCTTTTCTTCAACAAAATTTCCATTTCGCTCCAAAATTGTCAAAGTTTTTATTTATTACCAATGGATGTACTTGATCCAGTCGTCCAATTTATTTTCAATATTTTATTATTATCATCTATCATACCTACACCTATATATACATTTATATATATACATATACACACACACACACACACATATATATATATATATAGTAATTTATTATATATATACTTATTACTATCTACATAGTAAATTTTATACAATAGTAATTTATATATATATATATAAAATTTATTATTGCAGACATTAACGTCAAATTATAATATTAATTGAATTTAAAATCGTCACTTGACAATATTCATCAAAATGGCGACTCAAAGTTTTCTAATTATAACGTAATACGTATAAATTGAATAAATCGCATTTCTAGTTTGTTACGTTCATGTAGAAAAAAAAAACAAAAAAAGAAAAAAGAAAAAAAGTGAAGAAAAAAATAAAAATAAAAAGAAAACTAAAAGAAGAATTATGAGACAGATCGTAGAAAATCTTTTACAAATTTCTAACCTCGCTAAATATTAGTATCGGCTTTATTAGGACAATAATGGGAAAACCATTGAGAAAATCAAGTTAATTCGTGAAAAAAGAAAAGAAGAAGAAGAAAGGTTAAAGAGGAAATTGTCGAAAGGGATTTAGATATAGTTCCCAACGGTAATCCTTCGATCGATCGATTCTGTTATAAAATACTAGAAGATACTCTCGGGGAGGGATATAACGTGAAATGTGGCCACGTTCGAGCTATCTATCGTTTTATCGATAATTCCAGGTACCCATCGAGAAATCTCGCTAACAATTCCATTACGTTTATCTCCCTTTCCCTCTCTCTTATACCAACACCTCCCTTTCTCACTCTCTCTCTCTCTCTCTCTCTCACTCTCACTCTCACTCTCACTTTCTCATTGTCTCTCTCTCTCTCTCTCTCTCTCTCTCTTAATCATTCTTTCTTTCTCTTTCTTTTTGCTTTTCTCTTTCACTGGATTTTTCTCTTTGGAAAATTCATTATCGAAATGCACGATATGTCGACATACTTTTTATATATATATATATATATATATATATATATATATATATAATATATAAAATAAATTGTAACAAAGTATAATATGTAATAGTATATTCATATAAATTATTGTCCTATCTTAATAACAATAATTAGATTTTTAATTGAAAAGTATTATGATTAAAAGTGAAATCGTTGTGTTGGTCAAAGGGATATAAAATTTTCTTTTTCTTTTTTTTTTTTTTCTAATATCAAATTAATCATTTATTATCATTTGAAAATATAATAAAATGAATGAGTTAAATGTTAAGTTGGCTATATGAATCATTTGAAATCATTCGAAATTTTCATCGTAATTCTAAATAATAAAGAATATTATTTAATAAAGAATTTCGTACAAACGAAAATACGATCGTATATTATCGTATTCATTTATCCTTTACGTATATCCATTGTTGTAATATATATATATATATATATATATATATATATATATATATGTTAAATAAAATATAGAAAAAAAATAAAACAAAAAATTAAAATATAATTAATATTACGAAGTAATTGTGATCTATGGATTACAGGATTATCATCCTCGACGTTAAATATTATAAGTAGTTCAATAAGAAAAAAAAAAAAAAAACAATTTCATCAATTATTATTATTACTCGATCATTGTTCAATACTTTTGCATCATCATAAAAATATACATTAAAAAAAAAAAATAAAAAATTATATATATATATATATATATATATATGTATGTATTGATGTATGTATGTATAATAGTATATATACATGTAACAATAGAGAAAAAAAATTATTAATAAGTCATACGATCTGTATTATGGATCCTATTATCTGTATTATCGACTGAAACAGATATTTTTTTTTTTTTGGAGATAATATCAAATATTCCGCCATATTTGATTCGGATTATTCGCAGGATTAATTTCGAATACACAAACGAATATCCGTTCTCGTATTAACTGACAACGTATATTGAAGCGTGAAATCGTGCTCACTGAAATGATTTAATCGAACTTCTCACTATCTCTTTCTTTCTTTTTCCTACTCCCATACCTTTTATAACTAATGTAATTTAGTTGGTGTAACTACTCCTCTAAGTACAGATCCATCTTATCTTTGTCATTGTCTAAGTCCTGAAAACAAACTTCAAAAGTAATATCCTTTGATGCGAATTTCCTTTAGAAGATTTCGTATTTTATTCGATGCTATTGAATTAAATTCGATACAACAAATACAACAAATACAGAAAGTTATATAACTTTCGAATCAATTGTAATTAAATTTCGAACGTCGAGATATTATGTCGAAATAGAATGTACATAGATTAAATTATATCGTACTATTTTTAATGATTCATTTTATTCGATTTATATAAATAGTTAAAGGCGTCGTGCTGATTTGTTCAAAAAAAAAAAAAAAAAAAAACAAAAAAAAAGAAAAAGAAAAGAAAAAAAATAGAAAAAAGAACAAAGAAATTCTAAAGTTCGAAATAGTTATTTTCGATGAAATTTCCGTCGAAAAAGTCAAACGTACGTAACGTTCAATGTTTCGTTATCTAAATGATTAGACAAGTAGATAATTAATTTATTTAAAAAAAATAAATAAATAAATGAATGAATATTTATATAGTATCCATTGTTATTCGTGGAGAAACTTTATCGATAAAGTAGAACACAGTACGTACGGATTTTTAATGATTCGTTTTTGGAATACTTTTAACGTCGTGTAATTAATTTACTTAAAAACAAAAGAATATTAAAATTTTAATTGTAAGCGATCGTATCGTTAGAACATTACGTATGACTTACGTATGATTAATGATTCGTTCATCTAAATAACTGAATGAGTTATTAATTTATCTTAGAAAAAAAAATAATTCTAATGTTCCAATCGTAATTTTTGCTGTCAACATTTCTAATTAAAATTATTACAAATTAATATATATATATATATATATTTTTTTTTTTCTTTTACAAGCGTTTGTTTCAAAATTGATATAAACAAACTCTCATCCTTTTATTTCTTTTTTTATCTAACTTAAAAACACATGAAAAAAGATTTTCAATTGGGATCTATATTATCTGATGGATATTTTTTATTCCATTTTTTTCTTTTTTTTTTTCTTTTTTCAATATTTTTTTTTAATTTTTTTATCTCTTCGAGAGAATTTTACGTAGGTATAATACGATAACGGACTAAGCGGTTTTAGTTTAAAAGAGAGAAAAATAAATAAATAAATAAATAAATAAATAAAAACAGAACGACTTTTACGAACGGTTTAAAAAAAGAAAAACGTAAAGCCCGCAAAAAAAAAAATAAAAAAAATAAAAAAAATAAAAAGATTGACTACGGATCGTCGGGATTTGCAATGGCAACTAAAACGTTTTAATGTCCCTCAATAAATTCAGGAATTACGAGGTAACACAGAGAGAAAAAGTGATACCATAGATTAAAACTTACTACAAAAATAATTTAATGCGATAATTCGAAAGAGAAAAGCGAAGAAAGAGAAAAACAAAATACAAAAAAAAACGAAAAAAAAAAAACCAAAAAAGAAATGAAGAAAAAGTAACGACAAAGTCTCCCCCCGTCGAACGTAAAATCTATCATTCATTTGACGTTGGAAAAGGAATGAATCGATAAAATGAAATAAAATGAAATAAATAAAAAATAGCATATGGAAAAAAAAAAGAAAAAATAAAAAAAAAAATAAGAAATAGAAACTATTATTTCTTTTCAGCGATCAATCCAAAAAATCTCGATCACGAATATTTCAATCATGTTTCGTATTTCAATCGCGAATAAAAAAGCTATTACAAAAAAGAGCAAAGGAACAGGCCGTTGATAAAGAGAGAAGAAAAAAAAAAAAAAAAAAAAAAAGAAACGTATTATTAAAACAAAGTCTAAACAAATGGAAATACGTCAGAGGTGAAGTAAAACGGATGGACCAATAAAAAAAAAAAAAGAAAAAAAAAAAAGAAAAAAAAAAGAGAAAGAAAAAAAAATAAAACATCTTTCTTACGATTAACGAAAAATTCGCGAATAAAGCGAAATATATTGATCGTGGAAAATGGACGATTCGAAAGAAATAAAAAAAAATAAATAAAAAAGATTCGTAAAAGAAAAAAAAAAAATAAATAAACAAATAAAAGATAGAAATAATTATCGTCAAATTTCTAATTCTCTTTAATCGAAATAAAACTGTTCGAACGATCGTTTCATTCTTCTTATACGATATTAAAATGCGACATGTAATAATGAAATAAAAATTAAATGAAAGTACGCTTTATTAAAAACGCGTGAAACGAAATAAATAAAAAATATTTTGTTTTAGGAACCAGAGAGATAACGTTAATGACAAAGGATAACGATAAAGACAAAGGATAGGAAAGATAAGAAAAGAAAGAAGAGAAGAAAAATAGAAAATAAAAGAAAATTAAAATAAAAGAAAAAGAAAAAGAAAAAGAAAAAGAAAAAAAAAAAAAGAAAAGAAATCAGAACAAAAACAAAACAAATAAAGAAATAAAACGAAGTGAAGAAGTGAGGAAGACATTTATTGCTAAGAAATTTCAAAGCTTTTTACGTTGTCGGCGTTGTTGTAAACGTATAACAATAAAGAAAAGAAGAAAGAGAAAAGTCTTGAATATAAAAAAGATTCGCCGCGTAGTATTACTAACATAAGATTTTCGTGTAAAATGCATTTCTTATCGTTTGTGAGAAAAGGGAAAATTATTTTTGTGATACGTTCTTTGATTTTCTTTCAAAGAATTATCAAAAGAGCCAACGACGATTATTTCAAATTTTTGATACAAAGAAAGAAAATAAAAGGGGAGAAAAAGACAGAGAGAGAGAGAGAGAGAACGAAAAAAAATAAGAGAAAGAGAAATAGAGAAAAGTTTTTTATATATTCGCTCTACGTGTACATGTATATGTTTGTGTAAGTTTATATGTTTATACATTTATACGTTTATTTGTCTGTATGAGTGTATATATATATATACATGTTGAATGCATATACGAAATAAAATTTTCTATGTACGTATGTACATGCATATAAGGCTTATGTTGAATGCATATACGAACCAAAATTGAAAAAAGTACAGCTGTCTAAACGAAGATTATGATTCCTTTTAGAGAATTGCATCTTCGAAATCCTTGGACGTGCTCGAACGACGATCCTGACCCTTTAAAGTATTTGTCGTAGTTGGATTCAAGGTTATCATCTCGCAACCCTGTGACACCTGGACTTTAATCGCCTGACTTGGTAATAGACTTTCTTGTACGGTATTATTTCCATTGCAGAGTTTCTCACTTCTACAACCCTCCGTTAATCTCGGGGTACTGTTCCTCGATGTCCTCGAGAAACATGGTAGGACCTGAAAATAAAGTAGAGAGGAAAAAATGAGAACATGAAGGATAAAGAAAAAAAAAAAAAAAAAAAAAAAAAGGTAACAATAACGTTATCGTTATACAACACGTAATACACGTTCCATGTATATGTATATGTGGTATGTATATGAAAGATTTTTATTTTATTTTATTTTATTTTATTTTATTTTATTTTATTTTATTTTATTTTTTTTTTCTTTTTTTTTTTTTTTTCTTAACACACTATATGTATCGTTACAAAAATTTCTATCGTAAAAATATAATATCAATCTGCTACGTATGATAATTTTCGTGACTAATATATATAATAAAATATATATTTATAATAATGTAATATTATAATATGGATTGTAATTAATTTATTTTAATATTGATATATTAATATTATTTATTATAATAATTTATATATATATATATATATATATATTATTTTATAGTATACTGTGATATATTATCATAGTATGTTATATATACTATTATTAATAATACACTATAATATATCAATTTTAATCAGTATAATAAATAATTCTATTATCAATAAATATTATAATAAAAAATAATTATATATACATATATACACATACGTACTATATATATAAATATATATATTATATATATGATATATACCAATTCTATATAAGTATGTAAAATAATGGCGTTGAAAAGTTACGTCTATACTCGACGGTAACTCGGACTGTACTAAGCAGTAGATGTTTAGAATCCTATACCCTTGAGTAATGTTTATTATCATTAAAGTCTCGAGAGTTTGTATACGTTAGTGAATACGTAAATACGTATTATAACCTACATACAAAAGTACATACATATCGTTTTTAACCTAATCTGTATTATCTACGTATTTATTCTCCAATAAGTGATATTAAAATTCTAATGAAATTTTTATCCAATTACTTTGTTTCTTTTCTTTCTTTCTTTCTATCTTTTTTTTTCTTTTCTCTTTTTTTTTTATCATCATTTTCGTATATTCCTTAATTTAGATTTCTCTCTCTCTCTCTCTCTCTCTCTCTCTAATATACATACACATATACATATACATATGTACATACATATTTATACATATGTACAATTATACACATATACGTATGTACGTGCACACATACATATATAAAACATACACATATACATATATACATACATATATACACACATTTTTTTTGCAATAATCTCTTCGTAATCTAATCTATTTGCATCTTGAATGATTTTCAATTGACAACAATGTATATATATGTATGTACTCGTGTATTTTATGTATTTATATATATATATATATACGTATAGATTTTAGGAGTAACATCACAGATGATGACGTACGCACAGTTAATTGCATGCACGTCTACCCTTCAGGTACGGATATTCGATCATCAAAATTTGTAATTAAACGTAACAATGCATTGATGTAACGACCGGCATCAATATACTCTCGATCGATATCAAATTTCACCTGATGACAGCGGTACTGCCCTTCTATTACGATTTAGAAAGATCGATGACAGAAAAAAGAAAATAAATTAAAGGAATAAATCGATCGATCAAGATAATATCGATATTTACGAGTTACCATACGAAAGTGTCAATTACAAAATAATATAAATAAATAAATAAATAAATAAATAAATAAATAAATAAATAAATAAATAGAAAGAATAAATTAATAAATTAAGAAGACAAAAATTAATCATGAACATACGTGTGTATGAGAAAAAAGAAATGATAATAATAATAATAATAATAATAATAATAATAATAATAATAATAATAATAATATTATTATTTAATTATAATATTATTATTAATATATTATTATTAATATATATTAATATTATTATATAATTATAATAATATTAATAATATTATTAAATTAATAATAATAATAATATTATTATTATTATTATTATTATTATTATTATGACTTATAAAAAACAAAAAATCATATAAAATAAATTTCAATGAATGCTATAAATAATTTTTGATATATAAATTTTTCTTCAAAATTTGTCTTTAATGAATGAAATTAGAAGAGCACGTGAAATTCAAAGTTCGTTTGCTGTTATAAAATTATAATAAATAGAAACAATAATTTTCATTTCGAATTAATTAAGAAATTGATATTAAAATAATTCTATCATAGAAAATTTATCTCAATTTATCTCAATTTATCTTTGGTATTAACGAATTCTCTTCAAATGATAAGAACAAGAATAACGAATAATTTCTTTTTCAATATTTTAAATATTATTATCTAACTAATGATATTTAATATTATCTTTTCTATTTGACTCGAAAAAAAAAAAGAAAGAAAAAGAAATAAGAACGAAAAAACAACAATAAAAACAGATACATAACATAATCGATAACGAATTAATTTATTAAGCCATTATTAAAATATATATACATATGCATTTATTTGTGAATTATCTTCTCCATTTAATTAGAAAAAAAAAAGAAAAAAAACAACCAAAAAAAATCAAAAGGCAAACATCAACATCGTATCTTTTAAATTAAATCATTATCTCTTAATAATAAAATAAAAAGAAATACGTTTACAAATTAATTTTATAAGATTAAAATCTCTGTTACATTTAAAAGTAGAGAGAGAGAGAGAGAGAGAGAGAGAGAGAGAGAGAAAGAGAAAAAAATAAGGGACATAATTCATCGATTATCTATCCAATTAAACGATTATCTACCCAAGATAAAATTAAGTCGAGACCATAATGAAAAAAAAAAAGAAGAAAAAATAAAAAAAAATTAAATATTAAAATCTCAAGTAATAATGAAGAAGTTTGATTCTAATAATAATAATAATTTATTATAATAATAATTTTTTATGTTAACTCCTAATTTCGTAAATCACATTGTACAGTGTGTATATGTGTATATATATATATATATATATATGTATAATAGATTTAAATCTTTTTCTATATATTTTTTTTTATAAAATATATATGTAATATATAAAAGGTGACCAATGAAAAACTGAAAAGTTTGAAAAAGTCATAACTTGTTCATTTTCAATCTTTTTTATTTTCTTTTTTTGTAGGTTATGTAGCATCCCTTGAAAATAAAAATGGCTACGTATGATGTCCATGAATAATAAAAAAATTAAAAAAACATCTTTTTATAAAAATTATTTTTATTTTATATCATCCAGTCTTTCAGTAATCATCTTGTATAAAAAAAAAAGAATTTATATATATATATAAAAAAAGATTTAAATAAATTAAAAAAAAAATATATATATATGAAGATTTAAATCTTTCACATTTAATTAGAAAGAAAATTTTTCACATTTAATTGAAGATAAAAGAAAATAAAGCACCCTATTTCATGAATTAATTAAACAATTATTTACCCGGGATAAAATTAATTCGATCCCATAAAAAAAGAAAAAAAAGAAAAAAAAGAAAAAAAAAATAAAATAAAAAATAAAAAAGAGAAAACAGAAGAAGAAGAAGGGAAAGAGGAAGAGGAAACAAAAAATAAATAAGAATCGCACGAGATAAAAATTAAGAAGTTAAAAATCGATTTCAAGGCTTAATTTCGATTTAATTAAAAATTTTTATCATGAAAATGTGAAGGACGAGGACGGTGAAAGAGATAAAAAGAAGAGAAGAAGAAAAAAGAAAGAGAAAGAGGAAGAGTAAGAAGCGTTGGC